TTCCAGATCATCAAGGGCGCACAAGTCGTTCTCTGCACCAACACAGGAGCGTCGGATTCCGTCCTCAACTCCCTCGACGCCTTCGACCTCTGCGTCATCGACGAGGCTGCCATGGCCGTCGAAGTTTCCTGCTGGATCCCTATCCTCCGCAGCAAGAGGCTCGTCCTAGCTGGGGACGACTGCCAGCTCGCCCCCACCATCATCAGCAAGGAGGCGGCGGACAAGGGGCTCGGGAGGACGCTGTTCCAGAGGGTGCGAGAGGAACACGGGGAGGAAGTGATGAGGATGTTGACTGTGCAGTACCGCATGCACGAGGACATCTCAGACTGGAGCTCGGGGGCCATGTACGGGGGAAGGCTGGTGCCGGCAGATGGGGTGAGGAGGAGGACGCTGCTGGAGCTGCCGGGGGTTAAGGAGACGGCTGAGACTTCCTCCGTCCTCGTTGTCATCGACACTGACGGATGCGGGATGGAGGAGGAGCAGGACGAGAAGGGCTCGTCGAGGAACGAAGGGGAGGCACTGGTGGTACAGGAGCATCTCGAGAGGCTGTTGGCTGCTGGGGTGCAGGAGGAGAGCATAGGGGTCCTGGCGCCCTACAACGGGCAGGTGGCGGTCCTGCGGGACAGGCTGAAGGAGAAGTATCGGGGGGTAGAGATCGGGACTGTGGACGGGTTCCAGGGGAGAGAGAAAGACGCGCTGCTGCTGTCGCTGGTTAGGAGCAACACGAGGAGAGAGGTGAGAGGTAGCCTTGAGTGGTGTGGGACTGACCTCTGCGTTTCTCCTCCCTCCCCATCCCTTTCCTTCTCCCTTCGCCTCCTTTATGATGCTCCTTCTCTCCTGCTCCTCTTCCTTTCGCCCTCCCATCCTGTGTACTGTCCTCCTCCTCGTCCACTCTCACCTCCACCACTCTCTCCTCCTCCTTCCTCTCTCCCTCCCTTGCTACCTTCCCTCCATCCCTCCTCCAGGTTGGCTTCTTGTCTGACGACCGCCGGCTCAACGTCGCCATTACGCGCGCCAAGTCGCATGTC